CAGGGTAAAATCTGCAGTGATTTTGGACTTTCATACAGTTGACCCTCAGATAAAGCACCCTAAATTTTCCAATAGACACTCCTCAAAATCACTTTAAAAAAAAAAGAATCTACATATGGTATTCAAGAAAGGTAAGAAAGGCACATATATTGGTCAGCTTTCCCACTGCTGGGACAAAATACCCAACACCAACAAATTAAAAGAGGAAAGGTTTAATTTCACTCGTGGTTTCAGAGTATTCATTCCATGGTTAACTGGCTCCAAGGCAGAAATGTCATGACAAAAGAGCATAGCACAGCAAAGCTGCTCACTTAGATGGCTCCCTAGAAGCAGAGCACAAGTGAAAAGAGCAGGAGAGAGACACGCACTCCAAAGGCACACTCCCACCTCCCCCAACCCCCACCCCCTGGGCTCCGCCTCCTAATAGCACATTAGTAGTGCCGCACTCCCAAGACTTGATCACCTCTCCAGGAGTCGCTTAATCCAGTCAGGTCAACAATTAAGATCAGTTGGTGAGAAGGGTAGGGGAAGGGGAATAAGGGAAAGGGAAAAAAATAAGAAAATGTAAAAATGGAATTAAAGTCTTTGTAGGTGGGGAGGGGAAGAGGGGGTGAAGGGAGGGTGGGGACAAGGTTAAAAAATGAGAACCAAGACCTGTCATGTAAAGGTACAAGATCCCAGCAGTGAATGTAACTGTACTGTCTACCTAGAATGTACCAATAAACTCAATAAAAATAGCCAAGTAAGATCAGTTGGCACAACACAAATCAAACAAAGAAGAACAGCGATATTTTCTGTGGGAGTTTGTGGTTTTGTGCAATTGTTAGTTTCCCAGAAGAAAAACTGGCCTATAATTTTCTTCAAAACTTTTACCTAGAAATGCCATTTTCATAAAGCATATATATCAAAGAAATAGCATTTCAGAACTCTCATCAATGAAAGCTGTCCTGATGGTATTGCCAAACCTATGGTAAAAGCACATGGTTTCTGAACGAGATCCTCCCGCCAACAATACAACTCAACTGCAGGTTAAGCTACTGAAATGCAACGTACTGCTGCCTGCTTCAACTTGGCTTGGGGTTTGGGCTTTGGTTTGGTCTGGTTTGGCTTTAGGTGTGTTGTGTGTGTGTCTGTGTCTGGGTGTGTCTGTGTGATGTTGGGGGATTGAACGTAGGGCTGTCACGCTGAACTATATCCCCCAACTTTTTTTTTTCTTTTTTTGAGGCAATGTCTTATTAAGTAACTCTCTTCATTGCCCATGCTGTGCTTGAACTTGCAGTCCTCCTGCCTCAGTTTATTATTTGGGAGCATTTACCTTCCTGTATACTAGATTGAGTAAAAACTGTGACAAAAATGCATTGCCTGTGTGTGTATGTGTGTGTGTGTGTGTATATATATATTTTTTATAATGGTAGATAAGCAAGATAGAACATATTTTATATAATATATATCCACATTTTCTTAACTACATCTATTTTTTCTAAATGTTATTGCAAGTAATTTGATTTTTATGACAAGAGAAAAATTCCAAGCTCCTATGAAAGTTCAACCTGCAATAATGTAAATACAACAACACAAGGCTATGTATTATTTCTTAAATTTTCCATAAAGTAAGATTATTTCAAAACACACATACAATAGAATTTTAATAAAGTCAACTAAGTCAGACACATAAGTTTATATATCATATGGTTTCTCTTAAATGAGAAACCCAAAACATAAATACGGAGCAAACTAAAAGATAATAGAAAGTAGAGAAATCCTTTACAAATGGGGTGGGGAGCAAGAGATGGAGGAAGGGGAAAGAGAAGAGAGGGAAATGAGATGCAAAAAAGAAATAATAATTGTAAGAAAGAAATGGAAATACAGCTTTTGCAAATGGGAAGAGGACCAAGAAATGGAAAGAGCAGAGAGGGATGGGAGGGGTAGGCGATGAAAACAGACTAAGATGTGTTATGTGTGTGGTTCAACTGTCCACAAGCAATGTAATCAGTATGCACTGCAAGCATATTCTAATATTTAAAAAATTTAAAAACAAATGGAAATTTTCCAGAGAAATGGACAAAAGGATATAGGTTTGGGGTACAATGAATATTCCCTATTTATACATGCATAAAGACATAATGGACCCTTATCCACAGGAAATAGGAAACATGCATTGGCAGAAATCTACTACATGAACCCTTCTCCGTGAACCATTAAGATAAAAAACTCTCTTCAGAAGGGAGCTCAGATATGCAGCTCTAGCGTCCTACATTCACTTCTATTTAAGCTTAGTCTTGGTTCTATCCTCTGGATTTGGTGTCGCTGAGCAGAAAAAAATATATTAAGAACTCTTGGGAAATGAAAAAAAAAAAAATCTCTAGCCCCATTTCAGCCTTCTTGCTCTCCTCCTCCTTGATGTGCCTTTCCAGAACCCCCGCAGCGCTAAGCACCTCTCCCTTCATCGGAGTCCCTCCACTGCTCTGGACTCTTTTACCTTTCACCCCGTAATTTTCTGACCGCCACAATGCCTTCTCTGGCGATCGGTTCTTAGACCAGCTTCGCTATCCAGCCTTACCTTTGGGGATACGGTTCTCCGCTATCTCACACATCTCATTGTCTCTGACACCACGTCCAATTGTAGCTATAATGAAATAAGTAAGCGTATCTTCCATCTTCGATCGGTCTTTACATTATCCCTTCTCCTCTTTCAGAATTACCCTGGACTCCAAATCCCAACGATGTACTTACTGCCCATTAACCCAGATTCCCTGTAGAGACCATTTGCCATCAGATTTTCAGTGGTAGTTTTGCATGTTCCATTCTCCTTTCTCCATAGCCCATTGCCTGTGAACCCTGTGATCTGCCAGGTAAATCTTCTCAATTTAGACTTTTGCTACCGTGGCTGAAGTTGTTAAAGCATACAAGGTATTCAATTCATTATTTGTGCCATCTTTCTGCATATTTGCCTTTAACAGTTTGTTGTGGTGGAGTCACTGGCGTTGGTATCACGAAAAGCATCCAAACAATTGAAAACAAACGATAAACGTCTCTTTTTCTCTTCCAGTGAATCTTAGTGATGGCTTTTGAAATATATTTGTTTGGGATAGGCTAAAGAGAGATTTTGAACTAAGGTAAATTGACATGATAAACGGAAACAAAGATCCTTTCCATTTATCCTTAGGACATATAGGAGAATGCTAAAATCATTTTACAAGCTTTTGGTAAACGGACTAGCAAAGTAGCTTGGGTGATTTTTTTCTTTATATTTCAAAGGAAACTTTAAATTTAAAGTCTCTGATAACTTACAGATACTCTAAAAATATAAAAGTCTTTACCAGAATTGTAGCTCTGCCAACAGTGCTCACAGGTACAAATGCTTTTTACTTACAGCAGAAGAAAAAAGAAAATGCAAGGCAGAATATCGTGAATATTCAGTCCAAATTTTACCCATAATGAATCTGCTATAACTAGGCTGTCAGTCATAATTATACAGAGAGGATGAAACTCCAGATCCTCTTGGGATGGACTTTATAATCGTGGGAGTGTAGCATTGTGAAAGGACAGTGCAGTTATGGAGCCCCGGGGGTGGTGCCAGACTCCCACAACGGTGTGGGACCAGATGCCTGGGTCTGACAGTCAGCTCTGTGTGACTTGGACCACTTCACCGGTCTGTGTCTCAGTCTTCTCCTTTGTTAGGCTAAAAAGAAGCGGTTTTGGTATGAGACAATAAAATGGCTTAAAGTAAGAGTTGATTACTATTGCTGTTGGGTGAATACAAGTCAGCAATGCTACATACAATGAACTTGTGCTGTGGGCAAGTACAAGCCAGGGGACATATATCACTGACCTGGTCCTTTTCAACCTTTTCCAGAAGAGATTGTAGCCTTAGTCACAGAAGTGGTACTTCAAAGATTTAGTTTTCTGAAGAAGTGGAAATAAAGTGAATCTTCGTGCCTCACTGGGACTGAACTATGTAGATGCACATAGGCCAAACAACAAGGGGTCTCAAAGTCTTATCATCTCCATACTGGTCCAGACAAGTTTGGAGTCTAGAAATCCTGTCTTTTTCTAAAGTGTTTCTTCTCCTGCACTCTCCTTTCCCTTGGGTCCAGTTGCCTGCTAGAGTGCAGAGTACAGTATTTCTGAGCACCCTATCCTATATGCCACCCTTATTTCTTTAACATTACTAAAACCACATTTCTGAATTTTGATTAAGAACTAAGGTGAAATCATTTTACACCTCGATTGTTAGGTGGAGGCTTTATTGTCCTTCTAGGAGTCTTGCGTTAAACAGGTGAAGCATTACCCTTAACAAAACCACATCCTAGCATTTCACCAGTATTCATTTCGTTAGCTGTCCATACCATCCTCACACGAGCAAACATTTCCTTGATTCCAGTGAGACTCTTCCTGTGCAAATGCTACAGGATTCTGCATTTTCCTGAGGTGTGAGCTAAGTTGGCTGTCCAAATGAATGGAGAAACTTAAAATTTTGCCACATACCTACATGTCTAGGAACCTATCTCCTCTATAATACAGATCCCTGTTGGTATCTGCCAAGAATACTTTCTCCACACCACATCACTAAAGGCTTAATTTTCCTAGTTTTTCTGTCTATCTTCTTTTATTAGTTGCATATATATTGTGCAAATAATTGCATATAGATTCTTAAACAAATTTTTATGGATGTCTCACCCTTATCTTCTATTTGTTATGAGCATTTCAAAAGCAGGCTCTTCTGAATTCCAGCATAATTTTTGCTGTTTAGAATATTTATTAATTCATTTCACAAATATTTATTGAGCAGGTGTAATGAGGATTAAAAGTTTAGTACAGTGACGCATCCTTTCCTCAAGTCATCAGCTCTGCTCCCATATAGTAAAACAGAAAGGGCAGAAAATTAAATTAGTGCTGTATTGTTGTTTTTCAGAACTAGAAATCATTTTATAATTCCAAAGTAGCAATGGTTTTGTTTCAAATGACAATAAAATATCTCTCTGTCTTATTCTCCACAGGGTAGTGGCCAGAGCCTCCAAAAACCTCATGTCCACACAAAGTTTAGGGATTGTGTTTGGCCCTACCCTCCTGAGGGCTGAAAATGAAACAGGGAACATGGCCATACACATGGTGTACCAAAACCAGATAGCAGAGCTCATGCTAAGCAAGTACAGCGAGATCTTCTGCTCAGAGGAAGACTGACAGACAAGACAAGTGACTGAGTATGTTCACATCTGTCTTGATGCCTAATATTTTTACATTTCTGTAAACATATTTCTGAAATATTTTTTTCCTTTCAAGTGACAGATGCTTTATTCTGTGAAAACTTAATGATGGTTTTGTGTATAAGTTCCAAACATTTGAATAAAATAATTGACAATATTTGCCTATATGTGTTCAACATTAACCCCTTCAGCGCTGTTCTTCCCAGCGCTCATGGAAACATATTACGCACACCTCACGCTCTTAAGTGATATGTGGATTAAACTGTTGCGCTGATGCTGTTCCCAGGCATCCGATGTGTGGCTGTATATACATGGGTATGTGAGTGGGTATGCGTAACTGTGTGCACAAATGTGACTTCTTGCAATCCACTCTACCTAGGCACATCCCCAACCTCCCTCATGTCCACCAGTACAAGCAAAACAGCTGAGAAAGCAGAAGCTAATAATTTTTAATTAGATTAAGGGAGATCCAGTTGTCAAACAAAACAGAGATATTTTAACTTTGAAGAATATAACCCAGCTATTCTCAGTACTATATGGTAAATTTACAAATACAACATGGTAAGTGGCAGTTTTCCTGAAGAAAAATGACAAAGCATTTACTGCCTGATATGAACTCGTTGTTGTGTTTTGTTTTGTTTTGTAAATATTGTCTGTGGTCCCATAAACTTACTACCTGATAAATTAGAGGCAAATTAGTGCCCTGCAATTGTGATCTTTATTTTATACAGGAATTGCATAACTGCTCAATTCTTATGTTAACATCCATTTTGAATCTTCATCAAACTGTGTATCTTCCTTTCACTGGCTGTGTCATTTTATGTAGAATTTTTATTTTGCTTCTGAGGATGCTTTGTTGCTGAATTACATTAAATCTATCTAGAAAGAACTTTTTAAAAAAGGCTTCTTTTCATTTGCCCTAAGGATTACTTGACTAGACGTGGATTGCTTTATCCATTTGATGGTTAGTTTTAGTTGTCATGGATAAACAAAAGGGTAACTGTCTAGAATATATCAAACATTGTTTTATTTTGAAAAGTATGTCCTAGCTGAGCACATCTAATGCCAGGTTTTATGGAAATATTCTGCTAATAAAAATGTAGACTTATGCTTGACAGCTTTTTAATAAAATTCAAACGGAATAAATAAAACTAATCTAGTGCAATAAAGAGTAAGTCTAGTTATCGATTTGTTTCTAAAATGAAAAATAAAGCATGTAAATAAAATGCATTAAGCATGAATCCAAAAACAAGCACTTAGAACAACATGCAGAGGCTGTCTGGATCAGTAGCGTATCAGAGAGGAAGAGCGGGTGTCTGTTCCATCTAGTTGTTCGCACAGCTCCACCAGGCACAGGACTACCTGAGGAGAGCCAGGGTTCACTCACCCCTCTTAAATGTGTTCATTTCAGCAAAGATGCCTATAAATGGGCTCATGGCCAAAAACAAGAAACAATCACAGTAAATGACAGAGCCTGTTCCCACCAAGTGGGATGCACGCACGTATCAGGAAGCCGAAAAGAGTCACATGAGAGAGAACCTCATAATCGGAAGTTATCAGTACCAGGAAGCCAACAGACTGACTGGCTTTAAGCTGTCCTTATATGTAAAACTAATTATGCCTTTTGGTGGAGCACAGAAACATGGAAAAAGAGCTCAGGCATTCTATTTTAAGTTTCCCTCTTGCCATGACATTCTCAGTCAGGTCTTCCCTAAGACTTTCATCACATCTTTTTGAAGAGGGAAATGGTAGATATACTAGTTCTAACCTTAAAAATCTCACCCATTTGCATGTGTCCATCTTTAAAGTTATTCTGGAGTCTCAGCCAGAAAGAAGTAGCACTGAGAGCCAAGAGAAGTGGCACTACCTGCTTTGAGCAGGGACTCTCAGCCCCCTGCCTCTGCTGCTTTCCAGATTTATAATCTTCAAAAGCACCAGCTTCTTAATTTCCAATCTGATGGGATTTAGTGTAATTCAAACCCCAGCTGTGTCCTGTCCCTGCTTGCTCAGGGCATTTAATCAGAGAATGCGCTTCTTCTCTGGAGAAAGACCTTCCCAAGGTGTTGAGCCAATGTGCTTATCACAGCATCTTACTTGCACACTCTGAGAACACAGAAAGGGTTACAGCAAAAAGGTTATTTGATTTCATAACATCTTAAAAACAGCAATGACAGTCATATTGCTGTTCCAATTTTTAAAGCCAAGAGTGTAAGTATATTATGTTGACTCACAAAGAGATTAGATTTTATAAAACTGATCAATATTCCCCAACAAGAAACCATAAGAAGGAAACAAATCACTAGCTAAATATGAGCCAGGCACAATTCTAGGCATGAGTGTTACAAACATAATAGAAGGCATGTATTCCTAACTTCTGTGGTTCCACTGTCTGATTAGGTATAAAATTGTCGAATTAATAACATTTCTATGCAAGATCAGGGACTGTGTTAATCAGCTTTCTATTACTGTGACAAAATACCTGAAATAAACAACTTAATGGAGGGAAAGTTTATTTTGGTTCACAGTTTCAGAGGTTTCAGTCCATGGTCAGCTGTCTCCATTACTTCTAAGCCCATGCCAAGGCCAAAATATCATGGCAGAAGAGTGTGACAGAGGAATGCTGCTCACCTTATGGTGGCCAGGAAGCAAAGAGAGAGAAAGAGCAAGCTTATGCTGATAAGCGTCCTCCTTCTTCCACTTTTGTTCCATCTGGGCCTCCATCACGTTGGATGTTGGATGGTGTCACCATTTGGGTGGGTCTCTCCCTTCAGTTTTCTGTCTCACAAGCCAATTCTATCTGGAAACACCCCTTCAGATGTAAATACAGAAGTATTTTTATTAAGTTCTTGACACCTCTTACTTTAAACAAGTCGGTGATCAAAACTGACCATCATGTTTTAACCACCAAAGTTAGCCATCTTGGAAACCATGTAGTTCAATACCTGCATATGAATGTACAAAAGATATGTTTGGATGAATGAATGAGCAGAGGCTGCAACAGAAATAGTAACAAAATGTAATGGTGGCAGAAGTTCAAACAACAAATTATACCTGGGGTAACCAGATGTGGCTTTACTGGTTAGGTAACCTACAGGTAGTTCCATCTATGCTTGACTGATGAATAAGATTTACCAGACAAGGAAAAATGCAGAAGATGGGCCTGGGACCTACCTCAGTGGTGCTGCACCTGCTTTGCAAGCGCAAAGTCCTCAGTTCAAACCCTGGTACTGGAAGAAAAAAAAATGCACAAGAAAACCCAGAAGCAGAAATGGCAGGAAAGAATGTTATGAAAAACTTGATATCTCCAAGGACAAGTGAGAAGGAGCTTTGTGAAACAGAGGACAAAGCTCACACCTTGGAATTCAGGAATATGGAGCCTGTTGAGGGCAGATGTGGCCAAAATATTCAAATTTTATCCTGTAGGCAAAAGGGATGCAATAGAGCCTGTAAAATAAGAAACGCATGCAGAAACTTTATTTCTTAGAGAATCTAAAATTCACTAGTAGGTAAGAGACCCGAATTACCTCGAAGGGACTTCCATTTTCTCTTATATGCACTGGTGTGTGCATGCATGCATGTGTGTGTGTGTATGTGTGTGTGTATTTGTGTGTATCTTTTAGTATTTTCTAAGAATATCATTAAAATCTCACATTTTAGGAGTATTTTCAGAAATTATAATCTAGTCTATAGAATGGAAACATAAGTCCAAAACAATGTTCCTGGAAAAATCAAGTCAGTTAAGACCATCCCTTTTCAACATGGTTTTATCTACTTAGCATGTGGGAGTTGGCCCTTCTTTCCAGACAGAAATCTTCCTGGAGATGATGTGTATTTCATATACACTGTGTCTGACTTTACTTAGCATGTGCCATATGACAGGATCACCATGCCACAGCTCATAATTGAAAGCCATATGATGGTTCTCCCTGTCCAATTAGAAAACAAAGGATCCAATTAAGAAAAATTAGAAAAGCTGTTAAAAGGAAGCAATCATTTGCCAATGGTGCTGTCCCTACAGTTTAACACAGCTAGAAATTGACCTGTACTTCTTTTTTCCACATTTATTTTTGTGAATTATAAGTTAATCACCCTGTCAATTCCTAATTAAAAGGCCCTGCAAAGAATTTGATCCAAAAGGACTGTCACTAAGAGTTCTGGGTCAAACTGCTCTGTTGTCAAAAATGAGAAATAAAACCAAAACAATACCAACTCTCTCCTGGGAACTCAATTTTTTTCTTATTGTATTGAGGATCAATCCCTGGGCTTTATGCTTACTAGGCAAACACTCTACCACTTAGCTGTGTTCCAAGACCATGACTCAAATGTATATACTTTTAAAAGATGACTTTCTTCAGTACTGATAATAATTGCATCTTATGTGTCCAGTTAAAATATATAACTTTAGGGTTCGTATTTTTCTCCTTCTTTAGACCAAGGGCTGCAAACTCACATGCTTAGAGGGTCCAGGTGGGCAGCAAAAAAGAGAAAAGAGGAGCAGGTCCAAGCACTGTGAAGTGGTAGCTGCTGGAGAAAAGTCAAGCTTCATTGCTGGCCAAAAGGACTGGCTTCTGCTCATCTGGAGCTGCCACTGCTTATGTGGGAAACGTGGGAAAAATGTTGCCAAATCTTCATGTCTTTCACGAGAAGCCAGAAATTTAGAGTCTACATGAAATCTGATTTCAAGGCACCAGATCGACACATGTGAACAGGTTTGACCTAAGAACCTCTAGCTCTGTGATCTCAGTGTTAAGCCTTCTGTGATCCTGATGCTGCAATTTGCTTCCCCAAAATGTTAGCACAGAAAGCAAAGTTTAGAGATAAGTGACCGAGACAGAACAATGTAAAAGAGCAGAACTTTCTATTGAGACCCTGGACAAATTATTTACTCTACATGTCTCCAGTTTCTGATCTATTAGTAGTGCACACTTACCTTGCCTCTCAGGACTGTCTAATGGAATTGTATGAAAGAAATTAAAACAGTTAATACACCATGAAATTGTAAGCTGTCCCTGAAGGATATAGATGATCAATCTCCAGCTTACTGACTCGTAATAACTTTATTGTCTGAAGATGATGAGAAACATAGTTGGGATCAAACTCCAAAAACCTTGAATGCCATGACAAAATGTATTTTCCTACATCTCTAGTCACTTTTGAGACCGTGGAAGGTTTTGTTTGTTTTTAGCAGGAAGGTAACTTCTTCAGTTCTTTAAATGTTTTCGTGGCAACATCAAGAAGTGGAGTTTGAAACAGGGAGCAGTTGTTGGCTCCATTGTCAGACAGACTATTTTCATTGCGCTATTACTGCAGATCCTAAGGTAGCTGGGGTGTCAGGTAGAGAAACTGATATTACGGAGCACCGACCATCCGAAGGTGTCCAAGGCTTTACTCACCACTTCCTATTTATCACTGCGCAATACAGAGCACTACCCTCTCGCTACACAGAACTCCCTAGCAGGACCATTTCTGGCTAAATTTGTGTGTGGCCTTGAGGGAACATCAGACTGTTCTGGCAATCATTTGGTATTCGACAGTCACCATTTTATGATATTTTGACCGAGTCATTCCCAAGTCAAATGAGTGTTTCGTGCTACCAGCATTTTTAATTCCCAGCTGGTCACGACGCCTTTCTATCACACCTGGCTCTGCTTTCTCCCTCTTTTATCTTAGGCCAATATTGCTTTTCTGAATCTCCAAG